TTAAATAATGCTGAGAGAAATCATGTGTTGTTTGAAATTTTGGAAAAAATGTACTGTAGTATATTTATTATGAAATATATACACACACACACCATATATATATATACTAGCTGACCTGGGCACGTTGTTTATCCATGAAAAAAAATTCTATAAAAATTATAGTACCAAAAATAATTAATTGAGAATATATAACTATGTGTGAAATAAATGGAAGGGACAGCTGATACTTAATAATTATATGATTGTTTACCCACTGCAAAGCCTGACATATATAAATGTTTATGGGTAATACTAAATTATTCGATAACTAAAATGATTATTACGAAATATGGATTTGTGGTAGGAAGATGAAAAGTTAGGGTTATACGGTATAAAAATTTAGATATGAAAATAATAATAAGAAATTTAGAGTTGTACTCGTATGTGTTTAGTTACAAATTATGAAAATAATAATATATAAAAAATTGGACAAAAAAATAAAATCAATGTTGGCCGATTCTCAGTCATACTGACGTGATTATGAAATAATATATATATATATATATATATATATATATATATATATATATATATATGGTAGTATACCAATGTTCAATATTCCAAGGATATTTAAATTAATCAATCGTTTATATCTGCTTGATCATGCAGCCGTATCTTAATATCAAGTTCTCAATATCAAAATATATACATGATAGCTTTGTCGTTGGAAAATACTTGAACATATCGAATTCGAGTTAGTTATTTATACTATATTTAATAATATTTTTTTTTTAATTCTTCAAACCCTCTTGAAATTTTTTAATGTAATACAAAAAAGTGGTGTATGGCATCGTGCCTTAAGATAAATTGCTGGAATTTCCCGTACGGTAATGAAATATTCGAAGAATTTTAAATGTTTTTGATTAGATTATTATAAATACTGGCAACTTTCATTTTCCGTATTTTACTATTTTATATATAAATTATGAGAGCTTTTAAATTGGATGACAACGTTTATATATGTTTACATACGTTTATATATGTTTACATAAAATGTAAATGACAAAACTTAATCAAATGGAGTTAGAATGAATCTCACAGTTCTAAGAATTTTATAAACTGAATTACAAAATTTAAATTATTTATCTCACGTATATAGGTGAGCTTTGGAATTTTAGGTAGAATTAAAACTTTAATCTGAGTCATTTTCAGTATTTAAAAAAAAATATTTTTTTTGAAATTTTGAAATAGAAGAATTGTTTGTCTTTACCAAAAACTAATAGTTTCTTTACTATCAACACCAGCAAAATGTTTTTTGAATCATTCGAATCGGATGCTCAGTTTTCTTAAAAACTTTATTTTTTATCAGTTTTTGCTCTGTACCTCCTAAAGGTGGACTTGCCTTTGGTAAAAACTACCCATCACATCTTGCCGACAATACGAATCGAATGTATTCTGAATCAATCCAATCGGAGGTCCCGTAATCGCAAAACCAAAATTTTGCAAAAAATTGGATTGTTTTATCAA